GCCACCGGCGCACGTCAAACTTCTCTGTTCTCAAAGTTTCTAGTTTCCGGCTAGTGTCCAAGCTTCCTCTTTCTTCAGCCAGAGTTCAGCTTGAGGGGGATGTTAGACAATAATATTAAGTATTCCTAATTATGATAGAAGTTGTATTTTAGTTAATCTCTATTCTCTATTTCTAGTTGTGTTAGGAATCTCTTCTATATATATACTCTATCATGTAATTCATAATTCAAGGAGCAATATTATTATTCCATTATTTTCAACAATCATCATGCTCTGCTGCTGCTGGGAAGAAGAAGAAGAAGATCAGAAGCCATATAGGGTAATGGATAGATCGATGTGGATGGTAATTTTGGGAAGAGAGGAGTGATCCAGAAGATGTAATTGAGCAGTTCTGGGCTTTCTTCTCAATTCTCTTCTTTGAATTGATAGGGCCTGTAAGATAATGTAAGATAATGATGGAGAGATGCAGTGCTAGGGCTGGCCAGAAAGGAGCTATATATAATCAACGGAAAATGCTAGGCTAGGTTGCACCGGGACGGGTGCAGGTACATATACGGGGACGGGGACGGATTCGGGAATCGGCATTTTTAAAAATTTAAGGATGCGGGGCGGCAAGGATTCGGCAACAAAATATAATTAAAAAATTAAGTATAGGCATGTAAATGGTCCAAAAACAGTAATACAATAATAAACAAGGGTCCAAACTAGATTAATAAAATAATCTTAAAAAAAAAAGAAAGGAGAATTAAATTTCTACTGCTCTGGTCTGTGCTCAAATCCGTCAAAAAAAGAGCAACAAAGTAGTGCTCTACTGCTCTAGTCTCTCTGGTTCCGTAAAAAAGGGGGAAATTAAAGTTGGGTAGAAAAGAAAAGAATTAACTTACCTTGTCGCTGGAAAAAGCAAAGGAATTAACCGGAATTAAAGCTCTGGATCCCTCCCCGTCGGCGGTAGAAGTCTCTGCTCTGAATCGGTTCGTTTGGAATGAAGCGGCGGATCCAGGTCTCTTAGGCTTAATTAAATTACTTTCCAAATCCTAATCCTAATTGGTCAAATATTTTTAAAAACTTTTCAATTTAGGATTCGTACCCAATTCCTACCCGATTCGTCTGGATTCGTACCCAATTCCTACCCGACGAATCCAAACCTGTAGATCCGTTTCGGGTACGTCAACAGCCGTCCCCGTCGGCGCATCCGTCCCCGCGTCGCTTCCGGAGCGGGAGGCGGCACCAAACTGCCGAACCCGTGCAACCTAGATGCTAGGGGTACACCAAAAGTGTACCTCAAATATCCCCCACCCCTCCATCACCACAAAAAAAGCAAGAAAACTTCAAAAAGAAATAAAAAATAAAAATAAAATAAAATGAATAGTAAGGAGATGGGTGGTGTACATTTGGGGTACACCTTTACCCCTAGCATATCCCATAATCAGCTTAGCAATGAATACTACTCCTCCATGTCCGTACTACGTAGTCATGGGTATAGACGTATAGTCACGTGCATGGTTTAATGCATGGCCCATGCACACACCCACACTCCATGTTGCGTTGGGAAGCAAAAGTTAATAATTAGACCATTTGGCTATAATGCTAGCTGCAAATGTGACACCCTTTAAGGTGCTACAAGTATTCACTCAATACTATACCTATAATACTACGTATTTGAGACCTTGGGACTTTGGGAGATGTCTTAAGAGCATCTACAATGGAGACCCAAAACCCGTCGCGCCGCAGGAACTTCCATGCTCGCCGCGCGCGCTGGGCTATCACTGCAGGACGCCCCACACAGAAGTCACTACGGAACCCTACCGGTAGTGAAACGTGATGCTTTTGGACGAGCGGCCGTCCATTGCGGCGCGCCTCACCGAGAATATTTTTTACCTTAGCTTTTAACTCAATAAATTCAACACATCTTCAACTTCAACTTCAACTTTTTTCTTTTATTTTTAAGGTTTTATTAATTTAATTTTAATCATGTTAATTCCACCTTTTATAAATATAATACTTCATAATTTTAATCGTGTATTATCTTGTTTTTAATTTTTTAATTGTTACAATCCTTTTCAATTTTATTTTTTAAAATTATTAGTCTGTTTTTATTAATAAATATATATTTATTAAATTTAAATAATTTTTGAATTAGTAAAAATGAAGAATAATGTAAAAGAAATGAAGAGACTGGTTTTGAGGGTAATAACATTACATGAATTTGGGGCGGGACTGAAAATTAGTGGAATGTTGATGTGGCAGACAATGGGGCGAAGCGAGATTCCCTCCAATTATAAGTGCTTTAATGTTTTTATAATCATAATCAATCAAATAGAAATTGATAATTTATATTAGTATAGAAATAATACTCTGTACTTTATAACAAATTAAATAAAATTTTAAATTTATATTAGTACAAAATTATTTTTGTTAGATGTATATTACAAAGAAACTTAAGAAATTATTTAATTGTATGACAACTTGAGCTAAGTGGAGGTTGGCTTCAGGGCTTCTGCGCGATACGAAGATTTCGGGAAGGATGAAAGAAAATACCGGTTCGTAGTAGAAAATAACGGTTTGTAGTAGAATTTTCTGATTGATTTACCAACTCCTAAACTAGCCTTCGCTTAAGGTACAAATCCAGAAAACCGAACAATAGAATATTAACTGTCGGGTTGGGTGGTATCCCCAAACGAGTGCCTCTAGTTTAGTTTATGGATCTCGTACGTACATTTTATTTCTCAATGTAAGACCATTGGTCATTACCATTAGTCATTATTCAAGTAAATGACATCTATCACTAGACATTACTCCTCCCACTAGACATTATTAAGTGTTACTCCGTATTTATTAGGAAATAAAATAGTTTAAGTCCTATATTCGAAAATGACTTATGTTTTAGTCCTATTTAGTGCAAATATTTCTACACAAAAATCAACTTAAATGCTTGGAAATTAACAAAGGGTTATTAACAAAGTTAGAGTGCATCTTATAAAGCAGGTAGTTATACACACTATTTTACAAATGCATTTAAATTACTTAAATTTGTTCAAGTTGATGTAAGATAAAAATATAAAACATATGATTTTCAATAGTTATATTTTAAAAAATTATAATTTGAGCAAGACACAAACGTATTAATGTTTTTAGATATACTCTTTCTGTCCCAAAATAAAATACATAAAAACTTAAATGAGACGCAATGCTAATTTTTTTAAATTTATTTTATTTTAAAATTTGCACGAAATGCTTATCATAAATGCTTATTTTAAATTAATGGTTTCCCCTTTAGTCTTTAGACATCTCCTTACAAATGTATTGTACATATCTGCTGTTGGAGAATATTTGTGTAACATTATAAATGCACAACTACCTCCCATCGTGCGTAGTCTTCATTATATTTATGATGTATGGGCCCTTTTTTATTGGGTGCATCATTCATTATACACTATTTTTCGGGGGCAAATTCATGATAGAGTACAATGGTCCCTTTAAATTTTTTTTTAAAACAAAGCAATTAAATTAGGAAACCAAGGGGCCTTCAAAAAAAAAAGGAAACCAAGGGAATAAAGTTTGGGGGTGTGTCAAGTCACTCCCTTGCAACATCATCATAGCAAGTACTACGCGCTAACAAATGCACTGCCTCGTTACCGGAACGAGGAGTAAAACGAAATCTAAGGTCTCCTGCACAGAGAATATGGAGACGCTTACAATCTTCAATGATAGAATTAAAGTAGACCCTTTAAATTATTTGATAATTTAGAATCGAGAAATTTTGTTACTCCCTCCGTCCCGTTATATTCGTCCACTTTTGACTTTTGGAATTGTTCATCTAAGCACTTTGACTCATCAAATTCTCTCAATGTGTAGGCCTAAATATAGTCATGTGTGATCTTGTTTGATTTGTCTTAACATATAGATTATTAATATATAATTTCTATAATTTTTTAATATACAAATTAAATTACAAGATAAAATCGATTAAAGAAGTGTATTGGATGGTGTGTAAAAATGAAAGTGGACAAATACTCTGGGACGGAGGTAGTATTAATTTTAAAAAAAAATTCTTTATAACTGTAGATTTAGAGGGTGTTTGGTAGTGCACTGCTTTTAACAATTTAGCTTCTGCTTTGAGTGAAAGTGATTTTACTCTGTTTGGCATGTCAGCTTTTGCTTTTCACCAACATTGAGCCTGTTTGGGAATAACGTTAGAGATTAGCGTTAGCGTTTTGAATAAAATTTTAACGGTGCAGATTACTTTCAAAACGCTAACGCTAAACGCTGCCCGTAGATAGTCTTTTCAAAACGCTAACGCTTATCGCTAACACTTTTCCCAAACAAATCCATTATTTTGTATATAGAACACCGTTTCGGAGAAGCAGGTATGAGGTGTTTTTGCTTTCAGCTTTTGTAGAAATCACTTTATCCATAAGCTAATGTTGTGAATAATAATGGGGGGACGGAGAACCAACATGGGGACCGTGACATGCAGGACATGCAACGTGGGGATGACCCTCCGGTGGTTCGCCGAGGAACGAGAACTAGACGACCTCCGAGATGGCGTGATGATTTCGTCTCTTAATGCATTCTTTTATTGAGAGGATTATTAATTATTATTATTATTAGCTTTTGGGAACAACTTTATTTATTGTAATAGTTAGGGTGTCGAGCGGAAATATAAGCTCCTTTCCGGGTTTTTCTTTTCGGTTCTTTTCCCGGATCGTATCAAGAGAGTCGAACCGACAGGGTCCTAGAATATTATAAATACCTTTTCCATTAAGAATAAAGATATAGATCATTCAAGCCTAAACCCTGGTACTTCTCTTCTTCTCTTTTCTTCCCTGTCTACTCAGCCGCCTCTAAGGCCTTCTCTTCTCCTTCTTCTTCTTGTGTCTCAAACCCTACTCTCTCTTAATCTTCTGTTGGTTATTTTACTGGAGTAAGGGAACACTCGAAGGATCCCCATTGTTTCCTTATCAGTGGTGCTCTCGTTGACGTTATAACGAACGAAGTTACGGATCCCACACTTGCGGCAGTGGATGCCCGCGTGACGTCCATGAGTCAGGCGTTAGTTCAGATGCAGCAAGATCTGGAGACTAGGTTTTCTCGGTTAGAGGCCACGATCCTCTCGAACCGCTCCATACTTGGTCCTCCACCAGGGGGTCACGGTTCGGCGTCGGGTTCTGGGGGAGAAGCCGGTACGGGTGGGCGGACGCCAGGATACACCCCAAAACCGAAACTGGAATCTCCCAAATGTGACGGCAAGGATCCAGTTCGTTGGCTTTATAAGGCGGAAGAATATTTCAAGTTTTATGACACACCGCCCGACGATCGTTTGAAATGTGTGGCTTTGATGTTGGAGGGTCCCGCGGCCGACTGGTTCCGTTGGCGTATGAATGCCGGTTTGATCGACGATTGGCATGACTTCATCCGTAAGTTTAAGCTTCGGTTTGATCCCCTTCACTTTGTGGATTATATTGGGCAGTTGGCAAAACTCCGGCAAACGACGGGCGTTATGGAGTATCAAACAGAGTTCGAGCGGATTTTACAACACGTCACGGGGGCCAGTGAGGAGACACTTATATCCTTATTCCACGCAGGGTTAAAACAACATTTGCAGCATGAAATTTGCCTATTGAAACCCACATCGCTGTCCGATTCTTTTGCTCTCGCTCATGAATTAGAGGCCAAACATGCAGCCCTTGTTACCTCGGTCTCTCAACGCCAACTTCTGTGGAACCGCTCTGGTTCTGGAGGCATTCGAGCATTGCCTTCAACCCTGGGGGTCCCTTCAGGCTTGGGGAAACCTGCGCCAGAGAGTACTCCAGCAACTGGGCCGATTAAACGTCTCTCGCGGGCAGAAAAGTTGGAGAAAGATGCTAAAGGCCTATGCTATAATTGTGATCAAAAGTGGTCCAGAGACCATAAATGCGGCCGTTTTTTTATTCTTATGGGCGACGAGGAGGACGATCAACCATTGGTGGAGGTTCCCGATGAGACAGTGGTGGCAGCCGATATCTCTAGCTTGCATAGCCTAATGGGGGTTTCATCTCCACGCTCTCTTCGGTTGCAAGGCCGTGTTGGGAAGCATGAGGTTCAGGTATTGATTGACGGCAGAAGCACTCATAATTTTGTTCACCCCGACCTCGTCTCCAAAGCGCAATTACCCGTGTCTGCTATGCCTCCGTTTCGAGTTTATGTGGGAAACGGCGATTACCTTTTATGCGATAAACAATGCGTTGGTGTTGATCTCGAGTTGCAAGGGACGGTATTTACGGTGGATTTATTTGTTCTGTTCGTTCATGGCCACGATCTTGTTTTGGGCGTGCAGTGGTTACAACAATTAGGACGGGTCACTCACGATTATGCGGCGTTAACCATGGAATTTCTTTGGCAGGAGAAACCAGTGAGGCTGCAAGGGGGTAGTCCGGAGCTTCGCAGAGTGTCTCTAAATTCCCTCCATGCCTTAAGGACCTCTGCCAAAGTCACTGAGTGGTTCGAACTCCAGTTCTTGGGGGAAATTGGCCAATTGAACACTCTCGACTCCGTGCCGGGCACGCCTTCGTCGTCCCCAACCACAGTTTGCCCGACGGCTATTGAGCAAGTATTGACAGATTATGCAGTCGTATTTGCGGTTCCGTCTGGGTTGCCACCGCGTCATGCCGCTGATCACCGGTTATTTTTACAGTGCCGGCACCGCACCAGTTAATGTGCACCCCTACAGATATCCACATTTTCAGAAGACGGAAATTGAAAAGATGATTAAGGAGATGCTGGACCAAGGTATTATCCGACCTAGCCGCAGCCCCTTCTCCTCCCCGGTGTTATTAGTTAAGAAGAAAGACGGGTCCTTCCGTCTATGTGTGGATTATCGAGCCCTTAACGCCGTCACTGTTCCAGATCATTTTCCGATACCCACCGCGGATGAATTGTTTGATGAATTGGGGGCTGCCTGTTGCTTCACGAAGTTGGATTTGAGATCCGGGTATCATCAAATCCGGATGTACGGCAGGGACGTGTACAAGACGGCATTCCGAACACATGAGGGTCATTACGAATTCCTTGTCATTTCCTTCGGACTCACGAATGCGCCGTCGACGTTTCAAGCATGCATGAACTCCTTATTTGCTCCGTATCTCCGGAAATTCGTAATTGTGTTTTTTGATGACATTTTGATCTATAGCAACAACATCACAGCCCATGTTTCACATCTACAGACGGTGTTGGCATTGCTTCGGGGTAATTCGTTTTTTGTCAAGCGTTCCAAGTGTAGCTTTTGTCAATCCTCGATTGAATATTTGGGGCATATTATCTCGAACGGGTTTCTTAACGCCGATCCCTCCAAAATAGCGGCAATGGTGCAGTGGCCTGTACCAAGGACTTTACGGCAGTTGCGGGGTTTTTTGGGCTTAACCGGGTATTATCGTCGGTTCGTCCGGCACTACTCTCACTTGGCGGCTCCCCTCACTGACTTACTCAAGCGCGATGCTTTCAATTGGAATCCCACTGCCCAACAAGCTTTCGAGGACTTGAAGAACGCAATGATCTCTACACCGGTCTTACGGCTTCCCGATTTTTCGTTGTTGTTCGTGGTGGAGACCGATGCTTGTGCCACGGGAATTGGGGTTGTTTTGCTCCAAGATGAACAACCGGTGGCGTTCTTTAGTAAGAAGTTGGGTCCGCAGCTTCTAGCCGCCTCTACATACCATAAAGAATTGTACGCCATTGTTGAGGCGGTACAAAAATGGCGGCAATACCTATTGGGGCGTGAATTCTTAATACGGACGAACCAACGCAGCTTGAAGGAATTGGTCCAGCAAGTCACCCCCGATCAACAGTTTTACGTCCGTAAGCTCCTTGGGTTTTGTTTTCGGATCGAATACAAGACAGGGGCGTCTAATAAAGTCGCCAATGCCCTTTCTCGAATGCATGAGGAGGATGTTTTGCTGATGAGTTTCTTGGCTATGTCTACTCCGGTACCGCAGCTTCTAGAATCCATCAGCCAGGGCAATACCACAGAACCTGACCTCCGCCGCCTACACGAAGAGCATGCCAGAGGTGGCTTACTCTCACCTTATTCTGTGCGAGATGGCCTACTCTATTATCAGCATCGTTTATGCATTGGAGCAAATTCACCCCTACGGGAAGTCCTTATTCGTGAGCATCATGACACTCCTATGGCGGGACATGGGGGTGTGCATCGTACATTTCAGCGCTTGGTAATGGGGTTTCACTGGAAGGGTATGCGGACGGACGTCAAGAACTATGTGGCGGCCTGTTTGGTGTGTCAGACCACTAAGTATTCGTCTCAACCGCCGGCCGGATTATTACAACCTCTTCCGATCCCGTTACAGGTTTGGGAGGATATTTCGATAGATTTCATAGTGGGATTGCCGCCATCTCGAGGGATGTCCGTAATCCTCGTGGTGGTCGACCGCCTCACAAAGTATATTCATTTGGGCGGGTTGCCGGCGGACTTTGACGCACACAGGGTTGCATTTCTCTTTGTAGATATTGTGGTAAAGCATCATGGGTTCCCTAAAACTATTACATCCGATCGTGATAAATTTTTCATCAGCAAGCTTTGGAAGGAACTTCTTAAGCAAGTGGCACGAACCTCCAGCTAAGCACGGCTTTTCACCCCCAAACAGACGGGCAAACAGAGGTGATGAATAGGGGGGTTGAGCAGTATCTTCGCGCCTTTACTCACACTAAGCCGGCGCGCTGGACTGTGTTGTTGCCTTGGGCCGAATACGCCCTCAATACTGGATTTCATTCGGGTCTGCAAAATGACACCATTTCAAGCGCTATATGGAAGGCAGCCACCCTCGTTCCTCCCTTATACACCAGGGGAGAGTTCCCTGCCTTCGATCGACTCCTTACTTACGGAACGGACAGAGCTTTTACGGACCTTACGTTCTAATCTCGAGAGGGCACAACAGCGGATGCGTGAGATGGCTAACAAAAAACGTCGTGAGTTAAGTTTTGCCGTGGGGGATTGGGTTTTGTTGAAGTTACAGCCGTACCGGCAGGTTTCGGTTCATCGCCGCTCTTCTCACAAATTATCTCGTCGCTATTATGGTCCCTTCGAGGTGGCGGCCAGAATTGGGGAGACTGCCTATCGCCTGGTGCTCCCGGATCATGCCCGAATTCATCCTGTATTTCATGTATCCCTCCTCAAACCTTACAAGGGACCCCGGACGCCGGCAGCCGTAGCAACCCTGCCGAGCGACTACGTGGATGGTCGCCCTGTGTCGCAGCCTCTGCGTGTGCTGGATTATCGAACTATCCTGGTGGATGGTGGCTTGGAGCAGCAAGCACTTGTGGAATGGACGGAGGGTGGCGTGACTGAAGCTACGTGGGAATCCGTGGATGAGCTACGCCGGTGCTATCCCCTTCTCCACCTTGCGGACAAGGTGGTTGTCCAACCGGGGGGGATGTTGTGAATAATAATGGGGGGACGGAGAACCAACATGGGGACCGTGACATGCAGGACATGCAACGTGGGGATGACCCTCCGGTGGTTCGCCGAGGAACGAGAACTAGACGACCTCTGAGATGGCGTGATGATTTCGTCTCTTAATGCATTCTTTTATTGAGAGGATTATTAATTATTATTATTATTATTAGCTTTTGGGAACAACTTTATTTATTGTAATAGTTAGGGTGTCGAGTGGAAATATAAGCTCCTTTCCGGGTTTTTCTTTTCGGTTCTTTTCCCGGATCGTATCAAGAGAGTCGAACCGACAGGGTCCTAGAATATTATAAATACCTTTTCCATTAAGAATAAAGATATAGATCATTCAAGCCTAAACCCTAGTACTTCTCTTCTTCTCTTTTCTTCCCTGTCTACTCAGCCGCCTCTAAGGCCTTCTCTTCTCCTTCTTCTTCTTGTGTCTCAAACCCTACTCTCTCTTAATCTTCTGTTGGTTATTTTACTGGAGTAAGGGAACACTCGAAGGATCCCCATTGTTTCCTTATCAGCTAATAAATCTCAAACACTCTCTTAATAGTACTCCATAGTCCTTTTTATGTTTTTCCAATTCCATCCATTTCTTTCTAGTTTCTCTGAGTTTATTTCAACATTCAATTCTTTTTTTCTAATTTTAAAGAACATGTTCTAATTAATTAGCACTTCGTTTATATGTTGCACGAAAGATAATACTACTCCGTTAAAAATAGACTTTTCAAAGGTTACAATAATTCAATAAAGAAAGTTCCAAGCACTAAAAAAATCGAATTTTCTACCCGTGGTTACAAACTAAGGTTGTTGTTACCTTTTGCTCTTATTATTTGCTATTGTCTAATACGGAGTAATACGGTCTAGTTTCTTCTTCTTCTTCTTCTTTTTTGCAAAAGTGTTTATCTGATCTAATTGAATATTTTAATGCTCCATTTAGTACACAAAATTTAAAATTTAAATTGTATTCCAACTTTGACAAATACTGAGTATTATATTGCTATATCTATTTTGATCTATTTCTAATGATAAAAAAAGTAATAAAGGTGTAACACTCTAATATTAACCAAAATAAATTGTGAACTACTACGTAGTTAATTAAGGGGAAAATGATCAAACTAGGAGTAAGACATATGTCATGTCTCCAAAGTAAGAGTTCAAACTTAAACTCCTCTAAATAGGAGTAATTAACACAATTAATCTCATCTTCTCTTGCACACACAATCTCTTTCCACGCCTCCACCCTCTTTTCTCTCTTTCCTTCAAATATATATTAAAACATAGCTCTATTGTCTCTCAATTGTGTCATGCGCTACCGGGGATGCCGGCCCAGGTGCTACCAACGATGCCACAAATGATACCGCCCCAATCGTTGCCGATGCCGGCTCTCCCAGCTGCCACCAACGATGTCACCGATGACATCGTCCATGTCAACATCTATTAAAATTCCATCGATGTCAGTGATACTTCAATCACATTTATTTTTACAACACTGCCATGTTTTGTCGTCGTCGTCGACGCTGCCATAGTTTACTGCTTTCCCCATCACATGGCCTTAGCACAAGACGCCGCACACGAAGCCAGCCACCCTCGCTAAGCAGCTAGCGCTCAGCTACCGCCACCATTATTATTATTGTTATTATTATTATTATTATTATTATTATTATTATTATTATTATTTGTTTTCTTAGCGCCTCTTCTTAGTGTAGGGCTAAATTTGCATGAAGATGAAGTGATGGTGCTCTCAACACTCGAGCACATTTTTTTATTTTTATTACAGTGACTTTGAGAATTATTGTAATTATTACTATTATTGTTGTTGTTGTTGTTATAAAAAGTAAAACACAATTTTATTCCCAGTTGTGTGACTTGCAATTTAAAAGTTTGTTTTTAATTATTAATGGCAGTTGAGTAGATTTAAAATAAAATTATTTAAGTATTTATTAAACTCAAACTGGCCCAAAAGATTTTACACGGAATAATTCACTAAAAAACAGGCCCATATTTACAGGCTCATTAAAAAAAGCTAAGTCATTAATACTTCACATTGTAGAATCACTAACAATTTCGTATCACCCGTACATGACACGAGTTAGTTAAAATACTAGTAATAGCGAAAAATTTTACTTCAAAATCCATTTCTCCCTTCGTGTATGTTGGAAATAAATACGTCCGGTCCAATATTGTAAAACGTGGGAAGTTGTGGTTATTATTATTATTATTACTACCTCCGCCCCACTATATTTGTCCAGTTTTGACTTTTGGAACTGTTCATCTTAGCACTATAGTTTTGATCTTCAATCGGTGTTATAAGATGATTTCAAGGGCAGTGAGATTAAGGTATGATTGTTGTTTATTTTAATCCCAATTCTTCATCACCTTCGTGATTAGAGAATAAAATTCTCTTTCAATCTGCTTGTGAGCACAATGTCCCAACTATATACAAAACCAGGGTTTTTTTGGGAAGAACCGTTTCACCGGTCTTCTTTTACACTTTTTAGTAAGTTTTAAGCACATCCCATATTAACTGCAGGTCCACAATCTCCCACTAATTAATACTCTGTATATCTACTCTATTGCAAACTTCATCCAAATTCAAGGAAGACAGTACGCTTACGATCTCCGGCCAAAGAAAAAGACACCAACGAGCTCTGATGAAGAAGACTCTTAGGATCTAAACGATGGAGATGACAATGACCTCAACGATTGTTCATGCTACCTTCGGTGAGTTTTCAGTTACTTCTTTTCTAACCTTATTCCGATTCATTTAGGTAGTGATTGGCAACTAGCATTTCATTTCAATTCATGCATTTCAATTCCAAAATTTGAAATCTTGAATTTCAAATGACAAGGAGGGTACATGAATTTGAAATTAAGCTTTGTTATGAATGAGAAAAATTTATCTCAAATCCAAATTCAAAATTTTTAGGTTTCCCAAACATGGAATTTGAGCCAAATCCGGATTTGAAATCTAAATCCATATTTCCAAACATAGCATTAATTATTTTCAATCTTATAACACTAAGCTTTTGCTTTTCAAAAACAAGCCCTTTTTTAATTATTCCTATTTTTTATGGTAACTCTACATTCATGTTTTTGTTTACTCCGTGCAATATTTATTCTAAATTCAAGGAGAAAATCATGACGGTTCCTCAACAATAGCAAAACATTCACTAATCACTCATAACCAAAAGGATAGAACAAGTTCTCTTCTCTAATAAACACTAGAGGCAAATACAATCATCAAAGAACAACCTTGGAATAACAACAATCAATAATTTACCAAAAATAGAGTAAAATTCCCAATAACACAGGTGCAAAGAAGTTGCACAACAACATTCCAAGCATCAAAATGAGAAATTGAGTGTTGAATTAATTTGAAGAGGAAGTTGTGAAGAACAAGATACTAAAATTTGAGCACAAAAGTTTGTGTTACTTTCCTTTTTAGCAAGTGACATACTCCAAGAACTCTGGGTCATTTCTTAGTCGGAGCAATGTGTTGGGGTGAAGGCAGAGCTCTATCTCCACACTCCCTTCTTCCCGTCCCGCAAAGAGAGTGGTCTTCCCGTCATGCTTATTTCCCCCGCCGCTCCTCACCGCAACCGGCCGTCCCCAACCAAAATCCGTGCCGTACACGTCGAACCTCGGAGAGCTGCTGATGGCCAGGACGTTGGTCGGTAACCCCTTCTCCCCGACGAAATTGGGAGATTTTGCCCAACCCACATACTGATTCATCATTTCTTCTTCTGTATACTTCTGGACCGCTCTCTTCATCTGCAACGCCGCCCATCCCAGCCCTCCCCCCAGCACCTCCCCGGCTTTCGCCGTCACCGTCTCAAACACCACCGCGTTTCCCCAATACCCTTCTGGAAGATTCATTCTTTTCCGGGCACCCACGATGATCATGATGTGAACTTCTTCGTGGGCTTCCAGGTTTCGGGCTCGAGTCACTGATCACCAGAGATGAGCCATGTTAGAGTCTATCCCACATTGGAAAATTGAATAGAAAAGTTATCGGTATATAAGGTCTTGAGTTGAACTAAGTAATCGATTGGATTCAATCTTTTAATGTGGTTCAACCCAAGTGTCTTATTGCCCAATCCAGTTGTCTCTACCCAATCCTAATTATAAATTCTATCATGGTATCGGAGCCCTAAACCCTAGCCTTACGCGCGTTTCTGCTCTCCGGCGTGTGTGCGATCGTCCGACGCCGTGTTCCTTGTGTGTTCGCCGAACAGTCTCCTCCTCTTCAACGGAAGACCTGATCGTGCGCTGCTGGTTTATGCCTTTAATTGTTCCTTTTTTTTGTGTGTGCTGCTAATTTGATCGTGCAATTGACATCATGGGCTGCTAAAGTATGCAATTTGATATTGTGTGCAATTTGATATCTTGTTGTGTGCGCTGCCAATTTGATATCGTGTGCTGCTGCCATTTTTTTTCTTTCTTTGGTTTTACTGTCTTTGATATCTTACTGATCGGCTGAGGGGCACTGGGTTGTTGATCTGCTGAATTTGGCCCCGTGTCTTTTGAGGGGGAGTATTGCAATCCGACTACTCTTTTGTATTTTCTGCTGCCCTGTGTTTTCTCTGTTGATTCTGCACATCTACTTCTGAAAAATTGCACGGTATGTCTCTTGTGTCCTGTGAGTGGCTCGTGGACAGTGGTGCATCTCATCATATGACAGGGGTGCTTTCGTGTTTGACTGATGTAGTGCAGCGGCCTCCTTGTACTATAAGCTTGCCCGATGGGGCTCATGTGATGGCCAACTCGTGTGGACGAGTGCAAGTCTCTCCGACTTTGATTTTAACTGATGTTCTTCATGTGCCTAATTTAAAGTGCAACTTGATCTCTGTGAATTGTCTTGTCAACTCTCATAACTGTCATGTTTTCTTTGATGACCAATTTTGTGTGATACAGGACCGAACTTCGAAGACGCAGATTGGACGATGTGAAGTGCGCAATGGAGTTTATGTCCTTCCATCCTTCGCCCAAGCGTCCAAAGCCGAGTCTATTTCTCTTTTGCATCAGCGTCTTGGTCATCCGTCACCTCAAGTTATGTCTTTACCTCCTTTTAATAAAA